TTTTTTTTTTGTTTTTTTTTTTTTTTTTTTTTTTTTTTTTTTTTTTTTTTTTTTTTTTTTTTTTTTTTTTTTTGGTACAGATGATATAGTTATACATTTGATTGACCCAATTGAAAATTTTAATTAACCTTTCAAGTAAAAGATATGTGTCATCCGATGATTTAGGGGATGCAATATCCATATGAAATGTGTTGGATATGTAGGTTGTCTAAATCATTAGGTTTTCTACCCATGCAAATCCTCAAATTTAGGGTTCAATGTAGTCTAGAAAAGATTAATAAATTAGTAGCATAAATTCATGTACAAAATATAAACACACGGATAAAAAAAAATTGATTGTAATTATCAACGTGACTATAGTGTTCACAACTGAGAACTCACTATTCGTGGCTATTACCTCGACACCAAATAAGAGTTTAACTCAATGCTTTATTTCTACCTCCAACGATATAAGACGTTTATCATTGCAATAGGTATCTAGTAGAAATGTAGTGATATATGTCATCCGCTTCATATTTACTTGAAGTTTGTTCCTAGAAATATAATAATTCTCTCTAAAGTAGTTCAACACATTGTTGTACATGGAATCAACGATAGAACCACCTGATCAACACTAAACATAAATAATTATCGATAGTCAAAGATGCGGTGTTAATTCTTTTAGATTTTAAATATATAAAAATCAATAAATTTTCTTTTTGTATAATCCATCGTAAAAATAAGTGAGATTTGAATTTCTAACGTTTTGATTAAAACCATATTTTAAACCGTCAAGGTTTATAAATAATTATTAAATTCTAAAGTTAGAAATAAATGGTGGTTAATTATTTTTTATTATAAAAGTAAATGGGTAGAATATTAAAATTAAAAGCAGCCAAAGTTGATTAAAACCGCGTTTTTGGTGAGGTAAGAATTATGATATTAAATTTCTTTAATTAATCAAATATATATTTTTATTAAACATAATACCCACTTCATCCGTTGAACATTTAAAAATAAAATATTTTAAAAATACCGAAGTGATCAGCTTGCCCTATCCTTTCCATATTTTCAAAATCTCTATTTTTTCATTGGCAGGTAAGATTGATATTGCTGAGAAGTAGTCAATTATTTTTTAAATCCTATTTTCTCTTACCTTTTTTAAAAAATACATGTCTCCAACATATTGGTTAGAGAGACGAACTAGTCATTCTTTGAAAGGGTGTGGAAACATCTCCCTAGTAGATACATTTTAAATCCGTGAGACTAACGGTGATATATAACGGGTCAAAAGAGACGATATCTATTAGCCGTGAGCTTGGACTGTTTCAAGTTGGAGATGTAAGCAACCCAAACAAAGTTAAAAAACCAACCTAACTTAACTCTCGAAAAAGTTGGGAATTGTTAGATTGTCTTTTTAATTATTTAAACAATCAAATTTATCTATAATACGCGTCACATTGATAACTAACATTTTATAAAGTTTAAATATCAAACATAGAATGCATCATTAATATCAGTTGTAATAATTAAATGTTCGAATATTTTTACAAGTAAGATAGTGTTGGATTGTAACTCTGTTATCGAGTTAGGTTGGGTTGACCAACCAAAAAATGTATCAAAACAATAATATATGAATTTTTATATATATATCATAACCCAATCTTATAGGTATTGTGAGTACCATGCCTCATTAAACCTCTTCCAAAATGAAAACCTCCAGCTTCCCTCTCCCAAAATCTCTCCTCCTCGTCTCCATCCTCATCCTCCTCTCCAACCCTTCATATCAAGCGACTCCCCCGCCGCCATCGCCGCCGCAGCCGCCATTTCTCCCTAACCCGAGGCTTCTCAAGGCCTACACTGCTCTCCAAGCTTGGAAACATGCCATCACTGCCGACCCAAACAACTTCACCGCTGACTGGTACGGCCCCAACGTATGCAACTACTCCGGCATTTTCTGTGCCCCCGATCCCGACGACCCCTACATCCTCACCGTCGGCGGGATCGACCTCAACCACGCCAACCTGTCGGGCACCCTACCCGACGACCTCGGCCTCCTGACCGACCTTGCTCTGTTCCACATCAACTCCAACCGCTTCTGCGGTACTATCCCCGAGTCCTTCCGATGCCTCACTCGCCTATTTGAGCTCGACCTCAGCAACAATGGCTTCTCCGGCGAATTCCCTTCTGCAATTCTCTCTCTTGCTGCTCTCAAATTCCTCGATATTCGATTCAACAAATTCCATGGGGATCTCCCTTCTCCCCTGTTTGACATGAAACTCGATGCTCTGTTCATCAATAATAACGCTTTCAAATTCTCCTTACCGGAAAACATCGGCAATTCCCCTGTTTCTGTTCTGGTTTTTGCTAATAACAACATCAATGGCTGCCTCCCCTCCAGTTTATCCAACATGAAGAATACACTCAATGAAATTATAATCACGAATAGTGGGTTGAATGGGTGTTTGCCGCCGGAAATTGGGTCGTTGAGCAATCTCGCCGTCTTCGATGTCAGTGACAACAATCTCGTCGGATCGCTGCCGGAGACGATGGCCGGAATGAAGAAATTGGAGCAGCTAAATGTCGCACATAACCAATTATCCGGTGAAATTCCGGCAAGTATTTGCTCGTTGCCAAAATTGCAGAATTTCACGTACTCGTATAATTTCTTCTGCAGTGAGCCGTCAGTGTGCCTGAAACTTCAGGCCAGCGATGACCAGAAAAATTGTTTGCCGGAAAGGCCACTGCAACGTTCGCCGGAGGAATGTAAAGCTTTCTACTCTTACTCTGTTGACTGCGGCGTCTTTGGTTGTACTCATCGGCCGCCACCGCCACCACCTCCTCCTCCTCCGCCCCCGCCCTCGCCTCCTCCTCCACCTCCTCCACCGCCCCCTCCCCCTCCCCCTCCTCCGCCACCGCCACCACCTCCTCCTCCTCCGCCCCCGCCCTCGCCTCCTCCTCCACCTCCTCCACCGCCCCCTCCCCCTCCCCCTCCTCCGCCACCGCCACCACCTCCTCCTCCTCCGCCCCCGCCCTCGCCTCCTCCTCCACCTCCTCCACCGCCCCCTCCCCCTCCCCCTCCTCCGCCACCGCCACCACCTCCTCCTCCTCCGCCCCCGCCCTCGCCTCCTCCTCCACCTCCTCCACCGCCCCCTCCCCCTCCCCCTCCTCCGCCACCGCCACCACCGCCACCTCCACCGCCGCCACCGCCGCCACCGTATTATCAGTATCCGTAGTGATGGTCGTTCTGCTGTGGATATTTTTTTGCGAAAGGGTTCATGATATCGGAAACTCTTCTCATGGACATGGTTGGTGAAAAGGGATCCCAAATTGGTTTTGGATTATGGTTTTACTAATTTTCTTAATTGGCGATTAGTGATGTGATCTGTGTGTAATTTTTTAAGTAAAACAAACGGTGATTGAGATGGAATCACATGAACTAAGCTAAATTCCGCTTTAGCTTTGAATATATGGTAGATTTGAAAATGATTTCTATATCGATTGATATTAAATGACAAGAAACAAATACCGATTTTATTGGTCGAAAAAAGTTCAAGCTTATCACGAGAATCTTACTTCAAAATTTTTAACTTATTTGAGCTCATCATAAGTTTAAATAATCTAGGTATGTTTTTTTTTATGATTCCTGGACATCGTGTAAGATCATAAGGTGTGACCTCATAATCGGTCTTGCTACACACTTATTTGAACCATGTCAGTCTAAATGGTTCACTACTAGAGATTGGTTGGTTCTCATATAGTACAATACTCATAATCACGACGACCATTCCTTGTGCCTACCAACTACTACGATACTCATGTAGACACTTGTCAATTTGGACAAGTTCACTACTAGAGGATAAGTCAAAGATTCCCTAAAAGTCTCGATCAGACTATAACTTCATAAATGACATTACATATCATATGTATTAAGAGTGCAACATTATATGTACCACTTGATCGAAGAAATCAAAAAGATAAAATTTTTAATTTTTTTTAGTGAATTTGGGTACGCATATTCCTATTCAAACTCCCTACAACTCAAGCTGGTCTCCTTCCCGTGCAAAAATAGGTGGTGGAAAAGGAAAACCTTAAGGAATGGTTGTGAATCGAAGAAGAAGAAAAACGTTCAACAATAATCGATTAGGGCTCGTTTGTGGTGACCAAATTAAGCCAAAAACACCACTGAAACAAAAAATTAGCCGTAGACAAAATTTATTTACAAAAAAAAAAAAATCTCTACATTATAATAAAACCACGATTAAATGCTCGATCTTACATTTTTTTCATCGATAAATGACCTGTGCAAATATTATAATATATTTAAAATTATTGTAATTTAACTTTGAAATAATAAAAATTCTTCGTTTAAATTCCTAATAGAAATATAGTGAAGCATGTCGGATTAGTTTTAACAAATTTAATAAATATGGGAAAATTTAAGAGTTTTGAACTTTTGGTCTAAACAATTTTAACAAATATTATATATATATATATATATTTACATGGCATTTACAAATACTCTATTTTCTTTAATGAAAAAGTAATTTTAGCTATTTAAAAAAAAGTATTATCTTAGAAAATAAAAAAAATTGCTCTTATTTCTTTTGAAAATGGTATTCTCACAATTATTTTTTTACTGTAATTACAAACATACTAAAATTTTGATATTGTTGTAGGCTCTTCGTTAAAGTCGAGGCCGCAAAAGTATCAAATCAACGATTTAAAAATAATAATAGTAATAAATCTAAAAAAAAAGAGAAGAAAGCATGACCTATATAAACAGAGATTTAGGGTTTATGGCGGTTCTCGAACTTTCTCTGCCGGGCAGCAAAACGTCTGCAGAGTCAGGGCAACTCACCTCCTTCAACCATGGCCGTCGGGTACTATCTCTCATTCTATCTTTCCGATTTTTTGAGATTTTATGCTGCATTTTGGTTTTTATATCTGACACTCGATTTCTGTTGGATCAGCAAGAACAAGCGGATTTCGAAGGGAAAGAAGGGAGGCAAGAAGAAAGCGTGAGTATATCTATTTGCTTCTTTAGTTTCTCAGATCTTTGTATTAGTTTTGGCGTGCCTTTATGTATCTGTTATTTGCTTGTCCTTCAGCACCGATCCATTTGCCAAGAAGGATTGGTATGATATCAAGGCTCCTTCAGTTTTCACTGTTAAGAATGTTGGAAAGACTCTTGTTACGCGCACGCAGGGTACCAAGGTAAATCGACACTGTTCTGATTGTTTTTACTTTTGTGTTTATACTTTATATGAGAGCTGAGAGTGTAGAGTGAGGGAAATTATATTATGTTTGTATAATCTTAGAGGGATTTTTTAATTTGATTAATGTACCGAGTTTAATCGGATGGGCTTCTAGCATTAGTGAGGTTGCGATTACTCTACTGTTTATGGTTTTGTATTGATGCATTTTTTTTTTACTGGAATATTTGGTATCTGAGAACTAAAGATTGGATCTTGCAATACTAATTGCAATTTCGTTTGCATTGGATACGATGTTAACTTCTTTAGAGTTTTCTCAAGTCATATTATATCAATTTAGCTTTAAGGCCCCTGTTTTGCTGCCGTGATTTGTATGTTCTTGTAGGTCTTATTTCATACAATGTGAATTTAAAAGTTTTCTTTGTTGCTCTCAATAGATTGCATCTGAAGGACTCAAACATAGAGTCTTCGAGGTCTCGTTGGCTGATCTTCAGGATGACGAGGAGCATGCTTACAGGAAGATTCGATTGAGAGCAGAAGATGTTCAAGGGAGGAATGTCCTGACAAATTTCTGGGTTAGATGGATTTTGCATTTACTTATGTAGATTTATTCACATCATATTTTGTAGCCTTCCTTTTGATCATCTTTATTCTTCATTGTAAAAATGTTCAGGGAATGAACTTCACTACTGACAAATTGAGGTCTTTAGTACGCAAGTGGCATACTTTGATTGAAGCTCACGTGGATGTCAAAACCACCGACAACTACACCCTTAGAATGTTTTGCATTGGATTCACTAAGAGAAGGCCAAACCAGGTGAAAAGAACCTGTTATGCGCAATCCAGCCAGATCAGGCAGGTTAGTTCATAGGACTTCAGTGAAGTATTTTGTAGTAAAAATTGAGTAATATTGTTGATACTAAGCATTACTAAGTTTACTTCGGCATGTTATTTTTCTTATGGTATTTCATTTTTGAAAGTAGTTCCATATTCATTGCCACGCACTTGTGGATTATGCAAAAAATTCTTTTAAATAATGCTCTGATATCTCTAATCCATGTCAGATCCGCCGGAAGATGAGGGAGATCATGGTAAACCAGGCGTCCTCTTGTGATTTGAAGGAATTGGTTCGCAAGTTCATTCCAGAGTCAATTGGCAAGGAGATCGAAAAGGCAACATCAAGTATCTACCCTCTTCAAAATGTGTTTATCCGGAAAGTTAAAATTTTGAAAGCTCCCAAATTCGATCTTGGGAAGTTAATGGAGGTATATATCTGGTTTATTTCTTGAATTATTTCAGAGTTTTATGTTCCCTCCGTGATATTTGTATTAGAAGGGAAAAATTCTATTGTCATTCCATTAATCGCTTTTGCTGATTATGCTTGCAGGTTCACGGCGACTACTCAGAAGACGTTGGCGTGAAGGTTGAGAGACCGGCCGATGAAGCGGCGGCAGAGGAGGCTACTGAAGTTGTTGGAGCTTGAGTTCAGTAATGTTAAATTTCATTCCGAGTTGGTTTAATCTGTTTTATTTATTTTATTGCCCCCGTTTGCTACAAACTTAGTTTTAGCCCGCGTATTGGTCTAGTGAGAAGAGTAGGTTTTGAGGATCGCAATTTTGTGCAATATTAGTCAAAGAATATGCCTTCGATGAATTAATTTCACGAATTGCACTTTTTTCCCCGACTTGCTCGACACACAACTTTGTTCGTTATGGTTCGAGTTAGTGTGATCAAGAGGTTTTTTTTAAAGTTCATTATATGGTAAAGAATCAGCGCCTCTACTTGGCTTTTATATAGTGAATTGTGAGCTTGTTGCCATATCCATAAAATAAAGTAAAAATAGATGGTTCATTTTTATGTTTATTTGATCTCAAATTTTAATGATATCATGAAAATTTTATTTTGGGTTTAATAAGTTTCTAAATTTCAAATATTAAAGATAATTCTAAATTTTCAATTTTGTGTGAATTTTATTGTATAGGATGAAATACCAATTATTTTGAGGATTTATTTAACAAAATTTAAGGGCCACCCTCTGTGGTTACATCCTTTCCTCTTCCCTCTCCAAGTCCTGTTATCTTTCCCCCTTGCTCTGATGCTCCTTCCACCAACTCCGGCGCCTCCACCATGCAGCAAGAAGAATGGTGGCGCCTCTTACTGCGTGGTGGCGGTGCTGATGGAGTAAGAAGAAAGGAAGAAAAAGAAGAAGAAAGAGCAAAAGAAGTGAAGATCGCAATTCTGGTAACAGAGCATTGAAAAATATGAACATTTTATTTCTGGACTTTAATCATCATAACCAATCAAGCTAGCGCAAGACAAGAATCTGCCTTGTTATAGTTCATCATCATTAGATAGATCCAGAGATGATGATCTACAATTATTACAACTTACAAGGGGATGGATATCTAGCTGCTGTCTCTATAATCTTCTACTACTGTACAGCCGGAGTATTTATCAGGAGATTCAGTCTAAATGCGTAGAAGGTCTCATACATCCACAAGAACATGGTTTCTTCCATCTTTCCCTCCGTTTTCCGCTTCTGCAGATGAAATCTCTCAGAATAACCCGAGGTTTACTACTCCCCGGTAATGTGTTCTTCCCTTTTGGTTTCTTCTCGGCTTCGAGTTTCAGCACAACGCGCTGAATGCTCTGTACCTCGAACTGTAGTTGTTGTATCTTCACAGATCCTCTTCGTGCCTGCTCTCTTAGTTTGCTTAAGGGGATGTTTCCAGTGGCCTCGATTTCTATTGATGGCATTCGCTCGAAAAACGAGGGACTGCGTTCCAAATTCTGCTTCAGTTGATCATTGATATTCATTTGCTGAAATATGTCTTCCTCGACTTCTTTTACGTGTTTCTCAACCGTGTCGTATTCATTGTTTGGAGCCATTTCGAAGACGTTCACTTCAATTCTCTTTTTCAAATCTCGAACACTTGTTAGAAGACCTGTCAACTGATCGACATACGAATCAATTCTCTCTAAGATCTTTCCTTTTCGGCCTCTTCGGATTCGTTCTCTAATGCTACTGCTGGGGGATTGCTCCAACTGTGGGTACTCAACTTGTGGGTCTGAGGGGCTTTGTGGCGAGCTATCAATCAAATTCTGGTCACAATTTTGCTCATTGGTCTCACTACTTTCCCTTCTGCTTCTTCTCTGGAAAGAACTATCTGATTCACGATCCAGTGGAATATCTTTCATTACCATTTCATTGTCAGGTTTGTTCTTTCTTGCCTTAGGATTATCAGTAATTCCATCCTCCGTTGTCGCTTCACGATGCGACGTTCCTTCTGATCTGAGGTCTTCGACATGTTCTTCAGCAGCTTCTTTGTTAAGTTTTTTCTTTTCCTCGATCACAGCCTTCTCCACTACTTTTATCATGGCCCCAATCTCCTGCAAATCCAATATCTCTTCTTTGTGGACTTTACAGCTCCCCTGATGAACATGAGCTGTGGTTTCCTCGCCCTGGCAACACACGAACGTAAATCAGCATAGATTTCAGTCACATTTCCATATTGTAGCATATAATTAATTAGAAAAAAGTTTTACCTGAGGAAGAACAATATGCTTGAGTGATTCTACATCCTCCCTCAGAGCAGCTATGGCTGGCTTGTATGCATACAACTGTGCCTCCATTTCTCCTACTTCAATTTCCAGGAAACTTACTCTTTCTCTGAGTTTTTCAATCTCCATGTCTTTTTCAGCGTCCTCATCCCGAGCATTTTCACAAGCATGGACAAGTTCGTGTACCTTATTCTCGTATAAAACCTCCCGTATCGACGAGATTTGATTATCGAAGTAAAATGCCGTGGTTTCAGCTTCCCAGAGCTCAGACTCATCTCTCCTCTCCTGTAGCTCTAGATTCAGACACTCCTCTCTAATCTTGCATTTCTCTATCTCCTCATTCAATAAATCAACTTCAGATTTCAAATTTTCATTTACTTCACTGAGGCATTGAATCTGGTTCTCCTGGCTTAAGCACTTTTCTTTAAGTTCAAGATTCTCATTCTCTAGATTCTGTTTGATCATCATTGTTTCTTCACCTTCCATCTTGAGCTCCTCAACAGTTTCACACAGTTTCATGTTGAAGTTTTGTGAATTTTTAAACTCCTCCTCTGTTTCAGACAGCTTTCGGGCCTCTGACCTCAGTAAATCATTTCCAAGTAAAATTTGATGGTTGAGTTCATCATTCAAAGCTTTTGTTTCATGTAACTCCTTAGCCAATTTCTCTACCGATTCGTTTAAACGCAAATTTTCAGTGTCCTTTGACTGAGATTTCTCTGCCAACTTCACAACTTCTTCCCTTGTCTCAGAATTAACCACTTGGAGATGCCAGATATCTTGAACAAGCCTTTCGATTTCCAAGAATTTCTCGGTTTTGAAGCTTTCGAAAATCGACGATAGGATGTTGAAAGCAATTGTTTCCTGGATGATTAAATTCTGCTTGTCTTGTTCATGCATTGCTAGTTGATCCTTCATGCTCTTTAACTCCTGCATAAAGTTTTCTTTCAGTTCTTCACTCTCTAAACTCAGTTGCTTGAGAAGAGTTAACAAAACCGAGTTCTGAACGAGCAGTCGCCGCTTCTCGTCCTTGTTTTTGAACACGGACGTTTTCAAATCCTCAATTCTAGCCAAAATATCCCCTATCAGAATCCTCTCTTCAGCTTGGTCAATTTGAAGAGCCATTAATACCTTACGGATTCCTCCTCTTAATTTATTGATTTCATTGTACATAAATTCTACTTCAGCTTGTTGATCCAGATTTTCGCCTTCCAATTCAGCAATAACTTTATCTGATAACTTCTGCAAGATGTAGCTTTCAACCTGGGCCTTCACAGCCTTGCCTAGTAGCTCTTCAACTTCTTCCTTACTCACTCTACTTTCTTCTTGTAGGTTAAGGACATGGTTCTCCAAACCAGCAAGTCTGGCCGTAGTCGACTGCTTGTAACCCGTACGCTCTTGTTCTTCCGTGAGAAGGGAAGTCCTCAATTCTTCTACTTGATGTAAGGCAGAGTTGTTGTCGTTTTCCAGATCAGCATATTTTTCTTCTAGATTCGCAAACCTCGTTTCGAAGTTTCCTAGTTTGAGTTCAATCTCTTCAAGCCGAGCCACCAGTGCGCCTCTTTCATTCAAAAGGTTTGACCTCTCATCCTTCATCAACTGGCAGAATTCTTCTAAGCCCTTTGATTTTGCCCTTAAACCTTCAAGCTCTTTATTTGTACCAAGTAGGGAGTTTTCCAGCAGTGTGTTCTTCTCTAAAAGTACTAACATATTCTCAGTTACATTCTGCATTTGTGAAAGCAAGGAAGATTTCTCCGCAACAAGAGAATTCTTTTCACTCGAGATAAATCGGGTAAGCTCCTCGGACTCCTCGACTTTCTCCCTTAGCCTCTCCAATTCCGCGTTCAATTCAGCCAGAGATACCTTGATGATCAAATTTTCCTTTGCAAGTTCATCCATATAACTGAGTTTTTCATGAAGTGCTTCAATCTTGTTCCTGTCCTTTTCACAGGCCTCCCTCAGCTTGGCATTCTCCTCATGAAATTCCTTTATAGAGAATTCAAGGGAGTGATGATCTAATCCTACAGCTTCCAATTGTCTCATTATGCCCTGGTATCTTCCACTCAATTCCTTAATTTCTTCTCTCAAATGATCAATCTCTTTATCGAGCAACGTGCCCTGCTCTTCTTTTTGAGAAACAACCTCTTCAAGCTTCTCTTTCATCTCCTTCAAGCCAGATAGTTGATCCTCCAAATTCTTCATTGAAGTATTGGAAGAAAAAGTCAGTTCATTCATTAGAGTCTGCAGTTTCTTCAACTCATCTCGTGTTTCTGCAAGCTCTTGATCCTTAATAACAATCTTGTGTACAAGGTTGTCTGCTTCAAACTGCAGTGAATGCTTTGACTGCTCCAAATGAGCACACCTTTCTTCTGTTGTCTCCAGTTTTGCATTAGCCATCACAAGTTCATCTTGAGCATGAGATATTTCAGTTTCCATCTTGGCAATTTTCTCCAAGCACTGCTCATACTGGCGAGATGCTATTTCCTTCTCTTCATTCAGATCATCAAGAGCTCTCTTCAATACTTTCACTTCAGTCTCTGAACGATTCATTCGTTCATCGAGCGTTCTTGCATAAGCTTCAGAAACAGAGATTTTATTCTCTAAAGCAGATATCTTCTTTAGGTATTGCTCATACTGAACAAGACTGACCTCCTTTTCAGCTGCTAATCTGGAAAGTTGTTGCTCAAGGTTGTGAGCTTCAATTTCGGCCTTAGCGGTTCTCTCTTTATGTCCTTCAGCATCTTGTTGGGAGTCAGATAATAGCTTTTCTAGGCTAGATATGTTTTGCAAACATTGATTATATTGTAGAAGGCCTGCATTCTTCTCTGCTTTCAAATCTTGAAGGGCTTCCTTCAATATTTTTATTTCGATTTCAGCTTTGCTCGCTCGTTCGTCGAGTCCACTGGCATTTTTTTGAGTGGAACTAAGTTCTTTCTCTAGGCTGGATAGCTTTTCCAAAGAATTCTGGTATTTAACAAAGAAAGCTTCCTTTTCAGCTTCCATCTCATTCAGTCTTTTTCTTAAATTTTGAAGTTCAGAATCCAATTTTTCATCTCTTTCAGACAACCACAGAATCGGAGGTTTGAGAACACAAATGTTCCTTATTAACTGAAAGGGCACTCTATGCAAGTTATGATCATCGAATTCACCTTCACGACGAACTACTTGCGGTTCAGTGCTTCCCTCTGATGCAAACATCTCATTGAGCTGTTTCAAACCCGCTTTACTTACAGAACTGCTTTGATTCATTGATGATGAACTCCCCAACTCCTTGTGCAAGTCTCCTTTGTCATGCAGTGCATGATTTGGGAGGTGGATTTCTGGTGTGTGGGATTCAGCATCAGAACAAGACTCATCAGAAGGAGGCATTTGGTTGTCTAATGCTTGAGGCATGGTTTCATGTGCATCATGAAGCTCTGCAGTTGCAGGGACATATCGTTCAGCTAAAGCACGGTAGGCTCGGTAGAACTCCTCAACTAATTTTATAAGCTCTGGACGTTTGTTATAGTACATTTCTGCTCTTCTTGCAAAGGAGTCTGCATCTTCTTCAATGAGTCTGATCATTGCTTTTACATTGGCATCCATGTCTGAAGAAAAAGTGGCCATGTCTTTGTTAGTATATCTAGTTGTTATCCACCGTTGCAAAAGAGACCACGATAATGATATAATTTCATGAAATTCAAATTTAAGCTAGCATCCATATGTTTATACATGACGGCATCCAGAGAACAAAGAATCTTGAGAACGCAAAGGCCAATTTAGACACGTTTACTGTAATAGCCCAAGCCCACCTCTAACAGATATTGTCCATTTTGATCGGTTACATATTACACTCAGTCTCACGATTTTAAAACACGCCTATTAGAGAGAGGTTTCCACACCCTTATAAGGAATGCTTTGTTCCCCTCTCCAACAGATGTGGGATCTCACAATCCACCCCCTTGAGGGTCAAGCGTCCTCACTAGCACACTGCCCCGTGTATGCCTCTGATACCATTTATAACAACCCAAACTTACCGCTAGCAGATATTGTCTGCTTTGACCCGTTACGTATTGCCGTCAGCCTCACGATTTTAAAACGAGTCTATTAGGGAGAGATTTCCACACCCTTATAAGGAATGTTTTGTTCCCCTCCCCAACTAATGTGGGATCTCACAATCTACCCCATTGAGGGTTCAGCGTCTTCGCTAGCACACTGCCCGATGTCTGGCTCTGATACCATTTGTAACAACTCAAGCCCACCGCTAGTAGATATTGTTTGCTTTTTCCCATTACGTATCGCCGTCAGCCTCACAGTTTTAAAATGCATCTACTAGGAAGAGGTTTCCACACCCTTATAAGAAATGCTTCGTTCCCCTCTCCAACCGATGTGGGATATCACATTTACGCTACATAACATTACTTTCATAAATGGCAAATTCAAGATATATTCAAAAGGATACCCCCATCTTGTGCCCATCCCAAAAGCCATCTCCAAGAGACAAAGTATGATTAGCTCAAGAAAAGTGAGTTTCAGCTACAAACTTTCCACCTCCCTCATTACACATAAATTATCATTCTTTTCTCTTCTTTCAACTCTAACCTCCAATACCAACTCATCCCAAACTCAGATGTTTGGGATATGAATATGAAGCTCCGCAAATGTAAGGCTAAACTTCTATTGAAGAGGAAGCAAGGTAGTTCCATAAAAGATTGAACACAATAATAAGAAGCATAACCTGTAAGATTCTCCTGTAGCCATTTTGAGTTCTTGGGGCTGATATGGCTATCCCACCACCAAGAATATAAGCGCCGAGATTCAGAATGCAACAAGGTCGCCATGACTCCGGCAAACAACAACCGAACAAAGGGTTTAGACCTTGGAATAGCCTGGTCCTTGTACCAGTTATAGTCCAGGTAACGTATCCAAGCCAGCTTGGTTGTTTGAACTTCACCACTTCCTTAATTCTTCACGAGCCTTTCCAGCTCCTTGTCACTCACTACACCTTCATAGGAACAGCAAATGGATTATAAATCAAATGAAAATTTGTTCATATTGGCCCTTTAAACAATCCAGATCTTCAACCACATAGAACTTCCTCAAAGGATTGTATAGGATGTGCAGTATAATCAAAAGGAAGAAGCCATTTGTTCAAAAGCTTACCTGTGCTGAGCACCAGGGGATCAAAAATCACCAGAACGGCTGAAACAGCTGCTTGTTTCCAATCATCCAACCAAATCTACAGTTCAAAAAGAACACAAAATCAATGCTCAAGCAAATGGGTCACCCCCAAAAGCGGCGAAAAAGCACACTCTTCTCATAAAACATTTCGATCAAATGAAACCCACAAGAAAAAAAAAAACCCCACTAACCAATCAGCTTCTTCACCCATGTTTTTCTGTGGCTGTCTCTTGACTCAGGCTGATACTCATTCCTTGTCTCCCGGCTATTCCCCATCGCTGAAGAGTGAAGATCATATTCACATTATATTTTTGGGTTCTGTACAGCGCCGTTCAAGGATGCCTCTACCACGAGCAGCGTAACTGACAGCACGGAGATTAAGCAAAAGAAGTGAATTAGGCAAAAGGGTTAAGCAAGCAATTAAGCCATTAACACAAAAATTAAACTAACGTACGTAATTAGTATAAATACACAAACCCGAACACCAAAATTACCTCAAAAACAAATCTTGAAATTATTATTATTGTTAAGTTAATTAAATCCTTGAACAGAAAAACTGTCATATTCTTTCGAGTTTATTATTTTAATTTTCTTCCCTTGTGCACGTTTGCTTGTGGTTACGCTGTTCTTCATGGAGTTTCTAGATTTTTTTTTCCTTTTTTAAATTATTCTTCTTCATCAAGTTTGTGAAAAATAATTATAAAATATATGATCAAATCAAACAGAATTTCTTCAATTTTGGTTATTTCGAATATATAATCTTTTCTTGATAGGATCATACTCATCAAATAAATTTAAACGACCTTTAAATTGTAATTAATAAAATTAAACAGAATTTGATTGAATTTTTAGAAAAATTTTAAACGTTATCACAAATTTTAAATAGCTAGCCACTTTTCCTCTTTTGTTTACCTTAATTTAAAAACATAATATATAATTTTAATTTCCTATTCTCAAAATTATGGTATAGATACTTTCAATTGTTAAATCCAAAAAAAAAAAAAAAAAAAAGTTAAAAATAATAGTAAGGTAGGGTGTTCATATAATATACCATATCATATAAACCATTTAAATCACATTTTGATAATTAAATGAAATTGAGGAATAATAAAAGTCAATGCTGCAAAAGTCAACAAAAACCCTAACAATTAGGGTTGGAAATATATTGTGGAGATCCTCACCTTAGAGAAGGAATATATTTTTTTAATTTTATTTCGAGAATAAATGCAAAAGGTTTACCTCGTTATTTCTATTATTTTTATTTTTAAAATATATCACTCACAAATATGAAAGCGAGTAATCAAATTGCAAGAATATATTTTTTTTTGTTAGTAATTAATATATTTATTATAGTTTTAGGGCGTGTATTACCTACCTTAATTTTTAAGTCGATCAACTTTTTATTATAAATAACTTTATTCATCCGAGTGGTATTAATATAATTATAAATTAATTATTAAAGTATTTTAAACCATTTTATATTATCACCATGTGTGAAAATGTGACAAAAATTAATAGCCACTATTTTTTATAAAGTTTCCTCACAATTCTTTTGAATAATAATACTGCAAAAGCCAATAAAGCCTTTTAGCATTGATTCCATGACTCAATTCTCCATTTACCAACTACCAACCATTTAATTAAAAAAAAGTGTTTAAATTGCTAAATGTTTAATAAATTATTAAAATACGAAATTTAAGATTTCTTTAGTTATAAATTTTAAATTTATATCTAATAGATCAAATTATCTGAAAGTCTAAGAAGAGTCATTAGACCATTATGGAAAGTCTAAGAGGAGTCATCAGACAATTTGTGGTCAATGAAATGACGTTCACATGGGTCAATTATTTTGACTTGCTGGATTATTGGTCCACTTGTTGCATGGGCAATGAGTTGTTAATGCTTCTTGTCTTATTTATAATTAAATAATTGCTCTCTACAAATTTAGTAAAAATTTTATGACGAAAAGTCATTGGTCTTATATCCTCCTGCTAATGGTAAAGTTTAAGAGAAAAAGTTTATAATCACTTGACCTCTCGACTAGGTTTAACCAATTGAGTTATGTTCAAATTTTATGGCGGCTTAGGTTTCAGACTCAAAAAATGAGTTGGACTAGGTTTAGCCAATTGAGTTATGTTCAAATTTTATGACGGCTAATGCTTTCGACTAAAAAAAAATGGGTTGGGCCAAATATGAAAGTTGAACCTTGAGCAAGCCATAGATTAAGCTTACTTGTCCAATTCAAGCCCATGGGATGATCACTTAAAAGCTGAAAATGGAGTGTAGTGGTCTAATGGGCTCAATGTGTCTACTAGTGGGTTTGTTCCTTCATTAAGATCTCCCAGCAAGAATCGAAAACACATGGTTTTCACTTAGACTTCGATGAGAAGAAAGATTGAAATGAACCAAATTAATTACAGATCTATATAAATCAACAGTTCAACCATCATTTCTACAGGTACAAGCTTCGGAAAAACTAATATTTTTACAAGATAAGGTGTTGGCATTGGGCGTAAGGACACTATTTATCAAACAAAGCTCAAACAGAGTACCACTCAACATCATATGTTTCAACTAATTGCCAAAATGAAGCAGACTCTGCTTGAAAAGGTTGCCATTTTCAGTGTTGAGGGGTGAGAGAAGGGAAAGATGGAATAGACTGCAATATCAGTTTCCGACCTGTTCGTGGCAATGGCGACAAGCCGAATTCACTCTGAGGAGGAGATATCCTCTTACTGTTGGGGGAATCAGTCTTCATGCCTGCACCATGAGAGCAATCGCCATGAAGAATATTCCGTATTTCGTCTTCCGAAACGGGCTTAACCGGTTGAGGTTGGAGGATATTCGACTTTTCGAGTTGGTTGCCAGCATAAAATCCTGATGAGGATCCGACGTTTAGAAAAGAAGAACGCAGTGGGTTGCTCATAGCAGAGAATGGCAGGGGAACCAATTGCCTGCAGATGTAGAGATTGTCAATGTTTCAACAACGATGAATGTTAACATTATTGTTTAGCTGTAAAGTTAAGAGAGGTACCTGGAGAGTTGTAATGGAGTTGAGGGAGTAGCAGAACCTGGGTTCTGTTCTTCATTATTCTGGATTTCAGGGCCTTGCAAGGCTTTGTCCATTACACTCTTTTGGTTTGTTTCTGTTTCTTCTTCTTCTAGTTCAGTTTCTAATCCCAAAAGAGAAGACCCTGAAACAAAAACAATATGGGAATGTTTAATATCGTTGTCAGTCTCACGGTTTTAAAATGTGTTTACTAGGGAGAGGTTTCCACACTCTTATGAGGGATGCTTCGTTCCCCTCTCCAACTGATGTGGGATCTCACAATCCACCCCTTTTGGGGTCCAGTGTCTTCACTGGTACATCGTTCGATGACTGACTTGATACCATTTGGAACACTTGATACATAGTTCCAGTGTCTTCGCTGTCAGCTTCGTAGTTTTGGAACGTCTAGTAGGGAGAGGTTTCCACACCCTTATAAGAAATGCTTCGTTCCCCTCTCCAACCAATGTGAGATCTCGCACTGAACAAGGTCATTTAACATAATCAAGTAGAAAAGCTCACCATCCTTCCTTCCAAATGCATTTCTACACCCCTCACATCTGCAACTGATGGAGCATCCAACACCACCCTTTGAGAAAGACAAGTGGTTTAAATAAGATCCCAAGGGAAGAAGAAGAAGAAATAAAGAACTTAACAAACACATGATTTTCTAAGGAGGGGTAAAACCTGATAGCATTCACAATATCTCTTAAGGCAATTAGACTTCTTGCAGTTGCATCCTCTTTTATGGCGTGCAGATGCTGGGGTTTTGTTAGATTCATCCTGAAACAAACAAATTGCTCAAATTATGATCTTGCACTCCCACACTTTCAAAAAAATATAGACAGAGATTTTCATACCCCGGGTTCTGGAAGAGAATCCGAGTTCCTGATCACTTTGGGAGCAAATGCGAGCGGATTGCGAGATTCAATCTGCTTACGAGTTGCAAGAACAGTATCTTCATAAATAGGTTTGTTAAAGCAATCTTGACATGAACATGGCTCAATGCAGTAAACGCCTGCTGCAAAGCATTCACAGTAACTGCACATAGATGACAACAAGTCAAATACAAACGGAAGACAATTCAGTCAGACTATTGGAGTTGGAACTCACAGTTTTAAACACTTGGACTTTTTACAATTACAGCGTTTGCATGATGACTCAGTTTCTCCAGCATGTTCCAACCTACGTCTGCAAAACCATTAGCCTTTTATTAGATAACAAGGAGATGCAATAGTCATTTCATTGAGAGTATTTAGCTTGCCTCTTCTTTTTGGGACTATTTTGATTGAAATCATCAGCAAGCACGTATGCAGAAGCCATAGCAGCATCTTCCTCACTTTGAACCCCACTCCCTGAAGGATCCATGTCTTGTTCGGTAACAATCGAAGTCGAGAGCGGATCCAGACCAGTTGAAGACGAATGACACAAACCACCTGAATTAGGCAAGTTCAGTTGCCTCTCAGATGAGAACCTTTCATGATTGAGATTTTTGGCATCCTTCGAAGTTGTTGCCAAAGCATTCAAGTGTAAGCCTATTCCAGTTAAAACGTATCGAGTAGCAACGCCACCGGATTTATAAGGAACAAGTTGTTTATCCATGGATGTCGTCTTCTCTTCTGGATGCGTCGACACAGAACAACCATTTGAACCATCTTCCATGTTTTTTCTTCGACTGACTGCAGCCTCGAAGTCCAGACAGCGCCTCCGCATACCCCGATGCAAATTAGATACCGGCTGCAAGCAAACAAACAATTAAACATTAATACCTTCGAATGTTATTAAGCAGTGTAGTTACAATGGAAAGTTTAGTTTAGAAGAAATAAATGAGAGGTTATGAAGAACATTAATACCATACAATCATCTGCTATATATCTAGCCACCTCATCATCTGTTATTTCCCTACTCATAGAGTCACTTGAAGTTGGAAAGGAAATGCCATCATCTATTGCCTGGTCCATATCTTTTAGTTCACAACCCTCTCCAGCTCGAGACGACGAAAACTCTATTTCATGCTGTCCACCACTAGATTCTATTGGATCAGCAATTCTCATTCTTGACAGATTGGCATTGTCATTTTCCATCATCTGAGCCAAGGTGCTTGACGGAAACCCTGTCACAAGGTCTAATGGTCTCTGAACAAGTCTGATAGCCTCTGAGCCATTGGGGGAGCTGAATATGAAAAGATCAGCGCCTTCAGTAATTAAACTTTCCCAGTCATAACTTGTCCCCTCTTTTTCTTCAGTTTGGCTGACCACCAGCCTATTCCCTTCAGCTTCAGATGATCCACTTCCGGAGTTATTTTCAACACAAGGGTCACTTACAGCTCGGTCTTCACTATCTAGTAGCGGTCGGTCACAATCTGGACGAGAAGAATGGCTCTTCAACGCTTGTGGCTCAGAAGACAGCTTGGTAGATGATTCAGATTTGTCATCTGGAGCACTAGAGTTAACCTGCAATTCATCCACATTCCCTGTAACACCTTTGTTCCCATTTTCAGAAGAAAAGTCTGGTCTTGATAGATCTGAATAACAGCGCCTGTTGACAAATAAAGTTACAATTAT